GTGATTTTATTCACCTTACCTAGATTTATATAATTTCTCTGTATGTTGTTTCTAGGCATCTAAACGATTATAGAACGAGATGTTTTATACATGGCACGAAATGCACGGTGATTTTTCATTGTAGTAGCTAACTATTTGCGTCATGCGTGATTGAACTCTTTTAAATTTTAATTGACAAAAAGTGCTTAGATTAGATAAGTGATGAAGAGGATGAATGATTAACAGATTCTGTAACTTGTGTCACTTTGCCTCCGTTGACCGCCCTAAGTAAAGCGTCTTCAAGTTGTGGTGTATCGTATTTATGTACCGAATGATCTTGTTTGATAAAACTCTTGATTTATTTTCATGGGACTCGAACCAAGAATCAGTAAGTTGCAGTTTTCATTCTCCTACTGGCTGCAATCGGTGACAGCTTTATAACGTTTTCGTTTAAAAAGAAATTTTTAGAGACAAGTATGGTTTTCTGTACAGCTATGTCTGTTTCATCTGGTTACTGAACATAACTTTAGAGTTATAATTGATTTTTTAGACATTAGGCCTGTGTTATGCCTTTGTTACATACCTTAGATTTAAACAATATTTAATTGCTGTTATCAGTTTTGTTCTGTGGTTTTTTAGGTTTTGTTGTGTTGGGTATGCTGGACGCAGACCCTTGTTGCAATGTTGTTGACCGCTTTTTTGCCAATCTTCAGGGAGCCAGTTTCACCCCCTCAAGTTCCACCACTTAACCGGTAAACACATTACCCTCCATGAATACGGTACCGTGGCGACCAGAGACGAGGCGTACAACGACCACGGCTATGTGTTCGTTCAGAGTCCGTTGGAATTCAATCAGACGGTCGTTATACAGGTTAGAAATTTTAAATTTTTGCTAATTTGATGCTAATGTTAATTTTATTGTTAATGACTAACCGACAGTGGTGGACATTTTTTTTTATTTAATGATTTCTGATCTTTAAGACAGGTGTGCTAGAAATGTGTCTTATCTGGAGTGCTATAGTAGAAACATTAGAAACCGGTGGTTTCTTACGTATTCCTCAACGCCTACTCTTCATCCGCAACAGAAATATGCCATTACTTTGGACATCATAACAGTGAATAGTTTCTCGTTTTTGGCTTTGCCTTTGGCTCTATTTGTTATACGGTATCTTGCATGAATGTTTCATTTTTATTTGATGCATGTATAATTTTATTGCTCCCTTGAAGTCTCTTAGTTGGTTTATCGGTGCCGTGACTGTAAATCTGTCATTATCTCATAGAACATTTCCTATCGGACGAAAAATAGGTTCTTACAACTGTTTTAATATCGGCATGGGTTTCACTTGCTTTATTACAGTGTTAATTTCACCACCTTTCTTTCTTGGTGAGCACCTGACATTTGATTGTTTCTGTTTTGTCACCAAAAGTTTAACTGGCTATTTTCTAAGGACATACAAAGTTCTTGTAAAAAGAGATTTTTGACCAGATCGTATTATCTGCTGCTTTATTCTTCTATGTTGATTTCGGTACACGTTCATGACATTTTGCTTTTTAGATTGTTAACGTGTGATTTTGATGTATATTTATAAAATTTGCATTAATGAAACGCTATCTTCATTTCAAAGTTCCTTCCATTCAGACTTTCTGGAATAACAGTTCAGCAATGCACGGATTTTAATGTGCATGCTTTTATGCAAATTCAGCAAAAAATCATGGCGATTTTTAAGCATAATATTATGGAGGTTTTTACTTGACAGTCCGTTTGGTTTGTGTTCCGTAATGTTTCAGTGGTGAAAGCTCTTTGTTGATTGCTGTTTTGTGATCATTAGTATTTTATTTTTAAAGTAGTTATCTATGTTAAGGTATTAAACGTGCTAGAGAATCGCGATAGTGGCCTGTCTGTTGGTGTGACTTCTGCGAATCCTGATCGACTGAGGCAGGAGTGTCTACCATTTGATTCTGACCTGCTTCTTGACCGTCCTGAATATTGGGTAGTCAGCAAGGAAGTGATTGGCAAGCCGAAGCTGCATGATGAGCTGGGTTTCTTTCTGAATCGATCAGGTAACTATGAACAAATGTTTTATGTTACCACGCCGCGGTTACGTCAAGCGTAAAGTCAAGGATTGTACCTACGTTATAGTCGGGGGATCGATCGCCAGAATTTCTTTAACCATTCACACTTAACTCTAAACTCATTTCAGAACAATTTTACTACATTGTCTCGGTATATTCTTTGACTCAGTGTAGGAGGCACAGAATACCTGGAAGAATTGTAATTGGAGATCGTTGTTGTCTATGTACTTATACTGACCCTCCTGATAATTAAATACAGTACGCAAATTACATGCTATCCGACGATACCTCTTGAGTATGAAACAGATGTATTTCACTAGCGACATTCACCATCAAGGCAAGAGGAAATCTTCCTGTGTCTCAGATTCACTTTACGCAGTAGGTGTAGTATATTCCATATATAATATGGCGGCGCAGTGTAATAAAATTAATTTTGTGCGGAAGAATGAACACTGTTGCGGGTTATGAAAGTTTCAGCAATCAGTGTTTCTTCAGGCTTCTCACTGTTTCTTTATGTATCCGTTATTGTTAGAAACCTGATTATGTCTTTCCGAATTCAATGTAGTACATCATATACATATTGTGGTATATATTATATAGTATGATGTACTGTACTGCGTCGTATGTACAATGATATGCATGTTATGAAGTATATAATGCGCTATAGCGTGCCCTATGGTATTTTGCCTATT